GGATGGAGGTAAAGGAGACTGCGATCAAACATAAGGTCACACCATCCACGCCGTAGACCTTGTTGAGAGGGCAAAAATAAAGCGCCCGAGACATGAGCCAAGAAATGCATAACCATATCTTTGTTAAGCAGACAAATTTTAGTAATCGATGACACGTTTGCACTGCTAAATTTAGCAGCTGGCTATTTAAACTGCCCAATCAAAATAGGCCAGTTAAATGGCCTTGAATGGAGCTAAGCCAATAAGAAAGGAGGACAAGCGCTATACGCGCGTACATCAAAGCAGTTTCAATGGCTGACCTTTGATTGTTCTCAGCGTTACTCTCTGTTACCTGGTCTTGTTCAGGTTTCTAGATCCTTTTTATTACTCAAAGATTTTGAGTACAACTTTTCTGATCTATTTCTCTTCTAGTTTGCTTCTTTACCTGCAAGACCACATCTTCCTCTCATAAACGCTGGTTATTCACGCCCTTCGAACCTTACTGCCGATATCATTTTATATTTTACCTTTTCCGAGATGGCCGCCATTCAGAATGTTCTATGTATTACTTCGTTTTTCTTTTTATTTTCATTTCACGTCGTTGTGCCACTATCATGCAGCATTATTGACCACCTCATTTATCTCTAGCCTTCTGCCAGGATAGGGAGAAATGTTTAGCTTTCAATCACGTTCTAAACTGTCCGGAACAGCAAAACGGCCTGCATTATCTCTTCCTGCTCGAACAAAGCATCTATCAGAATCTCACAAAAATATAAGAGACCATTCCTCTTCACCTCAATCTAATCCATCTCCATGTTCCTCAACCAGTAACAAGAGCCCAACGAACGCTGACGTTAATATTTGCGCGACCTATGAATTAAACGCCTTACATCGAATTGCTGCAAAGTGTTCTCGTTCAAATTTATCAACATTTTCATCAAGTGGCATTCTGGTTCAAAGTGATACTTTATTTGAGCCAAGTTCTCGGCACAGACGAGTTTCCTGTGATGCGGGAAAAGTAAACGGCATCTCAAATACACAAAATTTAGCTGCAGATAGCAGTGAGGAGTATGGCTGCACTATCTTGAGTACCGAAGACTTACTATCTAGACTTCGTCGGGCTCGAGACCTCCAGGCAGATACTGGTATTATTCTTGTTGACTTGCGCGAAACTCGCTTCTATCAAGATGGCCATATCATAACATCGCGTAGTGCTAATTGCTATACTAAAACGATGGCAAAGCGCGCAGTATCCACTTGGCATTGCTGGTTTCTCGATTCCAAAGGCTGCCCATCTCCCCGCGTTTCCGACCTCCATGCTGAGTCCTTCCATGAAAATGATTCGCAAGGCCCGACCGTTTGCATACAGAGAACCTCGGCTAAGGAATGCACTCCAATTATCGTAATTTACGATCAAGCTTCTAAGGGACCTCCTCCATCTTTTGCGGACAAACAAGGTCCTTTAGCTTCACTCAGATACTTTATCGATGCTCTCTTGCTTCTTGGAAACAAAGTCTATTTCCTCTCAGGTGAGTCTGTGAAAAATTTTAAATTTGTGTAA